AGTGTCTGAAGGTTGATATCAAATATTTTGGATTCTTGTAGCGACTATTTTTTCCATAGCTATTCCAATGAAATAAATATGTGACATTAAAAATGATCATGATTAGATAACCTAGAAAATAAATATGAAATGTGAAGATAATAAATTTACTTGAGATTTATAGAAAAGACAAATGTTTAGTTCACATGAAAAAAACTAAAGAGAACAAAGATGCAAAAGAGGAATCATTATGATAGTTCATCTACACATAAACCAAAACCAGAATCAGTAAACAAAAAAATACGTAAATATAAATATAAAGTTAACATTCTAAAATAAGATAAATTTAATAAATCGAAAACATAAAAAATAACATCATAAAATTTCAGTGACTTCGTTTCTCTGCTGAGAATGTATTTTTGCGTGCTAGACTGCCCGTCCGTGTATTCAGTGTTCTTGGTACATAGATAACTGCCGAGCTGTTGAAACTCCCCTTCAACGTCTTGATATCTTCCAGATAATTTGCAAATGCTGGCCATTCGTCTAGTTCCAAAACCATCTTCACCAATTGAGAACAATCTATTGTAAACATAACCTGGTATTGACACAAATTTCTCATACTTTCCATGGCCCAGATAAGCGCTTCTACCTCTGAATGACGTGGAGATAAACTAGTTCGAACAATTCGTGCTCCTAATAGACCCTCAAATCCTTCGAGTGTGCTATACCAACCATGCCCATCAAACACATCCGTATCTTTCCATGAACCATCAGTAAAACACCAACGTCCTGGGATGGACAGTATGTCCACGACTACCTCTACCTGTGTTTCACTTTGAGGTATCATCATTTGGGCCTCTTCCCATAGAGTGGATTATTTTTCTGCCAAATTAAGTGTGTTCTTTCAGATCGATGTCCAAATTACTGAAAGTCTTGCTATGTCGTCCTTTCCAAATGTAACACAGTATCTATGTAAATTGATGATTATCCATTTTGGGAACAATCCGCCAAAATAAATGATCCATGTTTGTAAAGAGAGACCCTGTTGGGAAAATTACCGGGTTTAATGGGATTTTTGACAAAGCCCATACTTGGCATGCTGGTGGACATTCAAAAAACACGTGATTTACCGATTCTTCCTCAGCTCCACATCTATCATAATCTAGATCCCCACGAATTCCTCTTTCCTGGAGGTTTTTCCTGACAGCAATACATCCTGATAGGATTTGCCAGAGGAAATGTTTTATTTTTGGAGGACACCGTATTTTCCAGCAAAATGCTTTTAAAGCATCAATTGTGGGACCTTGAATCTCAGGAGGCCTGCCTCGATCTGAGTACATCCTTTCAACCTGATACCATGTCTTAACTGGCGCAGCGTACGAATGGGTGAACGGTCGATCTAAGAATTTAGGGTTCTTCGAGACCTGTTCTTGGATCAATCAAGAGTTTCTTTTGATAGCTTCTTGAGACCAACTTCATGTTTGATGAATTGAATCGAATCGAACAAGGGATACAAGCAAAACTCTTATTATTAAAATCAAAACGTGTCTCAACATAAAACCTAGCATCAGCTTATATAGCTAATTCCATCGACAAATCCATATGAAATTAGGAAACTTATAAAAAGGAAATAATAATAAAATAAGTAAATAAAACATAAAAGTTAAATCCTTGTGACTGCATGATTTGAACTCGTTACTTTGGCGCCAAGCAAAGGGATGCTGCTGCATCATTAGCCGTGTATTTTCTGCTCTTAGTGAAGTGCCATCCATCCCTATCTTCCATATACATCCTACTAAGTGGAATACGTCCAATTATTTTCACATCATGGGGGTCTACTAAAGTCCGAATGAAAGGCATATTCCAAGTCCGCGTGCTCGTATTGATGAGAGAATCCATCGTAAGTTCCGGATATAAGTTTTGTTGGTTTTTATTTGATGGTCTCGGCGAGTGGTTGGGAGCCATGGATCATTCCATTCTGAAATAGATGATCCTAATCCCACCCGTTTGATGAGTCCTTTACTAACCAGAGATCTAGCTGAGATCATACTTCTCCAGCCATATGATGGCGAGTATGATCGGATTTGTGTCATAGGTGTCGCATTCCTGTAATACCTACCTTTGAAGACACGAGAAAATAAACAATTTGGCTTCTCAATAAGTCGCCATAGTTGTTTACCAAGTATTGCCGTATTGAAATCCTCGAGGTCCTTGAAGCCCAAACCTCCTTCCTCCTTATCGAGGCATAATTTATCCCAAGATTTCCAGTGCAAGCCCCTAGTGCTTCCTCCAAGGCTCCACCAAAATTGTGCTACCGCACTTGTGAGCTTCTTTATAGTTGCCTTTGGTAACCGATAGCAGGACATGACATAATTTGGTAACGCCGTGACTACTGATTTGATGATCACTTCTTTCCCTCTTTTCGTAAAATACCGAAAAGTCCATCCATTGACCCTTTTATTTAATCTTTCTTGGACAAAACCAAATACATTTATCTTAGACCCGCCCAGATTCTTTGGAAGGCCTAAATATGTACCCATACCTCCTATATTCTGAATTCTTAGTATATCCCGTAACTCTTGCCTTTTCTCCTCCCCAATCCTATGTCCAACTGAATTCCGGACTTCTGGAAATTTATTAGTTGACCTGAAACCGCCTCATATTCCTTAAGTATAGTAAGGATGGTTTGACACTCATCCGGTTGCGCCTTACAAAAAAGACTATCATCCGCAAAAAGAAGGTGAGAAATCACATGACACGCTCTAGCGACCATCATCCATGTTAATCGTCTTTCCGCCTTTTTTAATATTAGTGATCAGAGCCTCCGTGCACAAAATAAACAAGTAAGGCGACAATGGATCCCCTTATCTTAACCCTCTCTGCGGGATAACCCCTTAGGCTGACCATTTATTAAGACCTGATACTGGACAGACGATATACATTCCATCATAAGATTTGTCCACTGAGGATCAAAACCCATCGTGTGGAGCGAGGCATGAATAAAATCTCATTCCACCCTATCATACGCTTTACTCATATCTGTTTCTATCGCCATAAAATTTCCCTGGGACGATTTGTTGGCTCTTAAACCATGGAACATCTCGTGGGAAATTAATTAGGATATTATCCAAAATTAACTTCCCTGGCACAAAGGCCGATTGGGTTTCCAAAATAAGCCTGGACAGACAACTTTTCAGCCATTGACATAATACTTTGGAGATGATCTTATAGTCAACGTTACAGAGACTTATCGGTCTAAGTTCCGTCATCCTTGTCGGTCTCTCCGTCTTTGGGATCATACAAATGTGAGTGATATTTAAACGAGCATCCAATTCATCTGAAACCAAGAAGTTATTCACCATCTTTACCAAATCCTTTTTAACAACATGCCAAGAATGCTGAAAAAAAGCGTTGTTATTGGTAAATTGGTAAACGTTTATAAATGACCTAGCTTTCACAAGAATCTTTGAAATAGAGTATACTTTAATAAATTCTCAATAAATATTTTGGTAATAAGGTACGATTGTTTTTGGAATATTTTGTTAGTAAAGAAAAAAAGAATATCTCGTGAGGAGATTGCAAAAGAAATTTGGTTGACAGATTTCACTATAAACATTAAATACTAAGTGCATGAAATTAAAAGAGAAGATATCTTATCAGTTGATTGCAACAACTTTTTGAATGACTTGTTCTACCACAAATATTTAAATATAATATATATATATATATATATATATATATATATATATATATATATATATATATATTAGAAAAAAAACGTAGACTACAACAATTTTTTAATTGACATATCTCACTATAGATATTTAATTTGACATGATTTTGTATCCAAGTTAATTTATTTTGATTCTTATTTATAATTTTTTTTTAAGTAAACATAAGCATTATCTGTTAAAAATTGAAATGGTTCTTTATAATTAATAACAAATCAAAAGTTTTATTGTAACCGAGATTTTCTGTTTAAAAAACATATACTGGGGACTTTCCTAAATAATAAGAAGGTATATGTCTAAATTAAATATGATTCAATAGTTGAATGCGGATATAAGACTAACTTCCTAAACGTGAATTATAATTATCTTCTTATTAATTATAAGATACCGACATATCAGTAATTTCCTAAGAAATAGATATCCACGAAATATCATATCATATTGTAATTAGACTACTTAGACATATAATATTATATTAATAATATAAAGTCCAACTTAAAAATCTTACCTAAAAGAAGTTGTGATGTTTCTGCTTTAATAAGATAGATGATCAAGTTATACAAATAGTATTAGACTTTCTTTTCTTTTCTTTTTATGTAAAAAGGCATAATTAGTACTCTCTCAGTTTTAATTTAGTTGTCGTTGTAGAGTTAAATTTTTCGTTTCAAAATAAGTATCTTTTTATAATTTTAATACAAAAATTATTAAATTTATCAATTAATTGAAATGTGGTTAGATGTATTAGGTAATTGTATTTTTTTCTAGAAAATATTTAAAACTAAATATTTTTTAATCTCTCTATAAAAACTTAAAATGACAATTAAGTTAAAACGAAGAATTAGAGTTGTTGACTTGAAACCAACATATGTTGACTTCATATTAGACCATTCGCAAAGTGCCAACACGTCTTGAGCGCCTTTTGTTCCCTCTCTCGTTTATCGGTACTGTACATTCTTTTTTGTTTTTTTTATTGTACATTCCCCATAGAAAGGGAAGGAATAGATACATGACATGCTATGTTGGATTACTATTCTAGACATTTCTCGCTTTTGCTTCTTATTGCACAGCTCTCATCTTGAAACGTCACGTGTCTCTGCCGCAAGTGATTGGTTTGTTATCGAATGAATTATTCCACCACCTAACAATTCTGTTTCGAAAACAAGGTTTTAGAAGCTCTCTAAAAATTATTAATGTATAAATTAAAGTACACAACACAACAACTCGAAATTCTGTTAAAGACAAACTTTTTTTTGGTTTAATACAACACTCATCTATCTATTAGTTGGCCTTTCATGTCCCTTTCCCTTTTCGTTTACCACTTTTCTTCTTCTTCTGACCAGTCCCAGAATCACTCTGTTTATTGTCATCTTCTTTGGCCTTGCTTCTCTCGACCTTCCTCTTCTCAACAAAGCTAACTACTCCACGAAGAACAACATCAGTATCATCCTCTTGCATCAACTCCTCAGCTAACTCAGCAGGAGTAACCTCCGTAGAATCTATCAACTTCTCGATTTCTTCACATAGAGGATGGTTCAAGCCATCTAAACCAAGGTAATTAGAAACCAATACCCTAAATCCCGAACCAGTACAATACGACATATGGATATGCATATCCATTCTTCCTGGACGCAACAACGCAGGATCAAGCCGTTCTTTGTGATTAGTCGTGAACACAATGATTCTCTCATCCCCAAAACTCGACCATAGCCCATCAATAAGATTCAGAACCCCGGATAACGTCACCTGCACAAATACAATACCACAATAAGTACATTTCGAAACTAAAGACAAAACATTCACAAAAGATCTCACCCTTCGATAATCCTTTTCATCTTTTTGTTTCTCAAATTTCCTGTCTCCAACCTCAGCATTGCAATCAATATCCTCAATCACCAAAATCGAACGATTCGTGGTGGATAACAAAACCCTCTTCAGTCCAGCATTGTCATAAATGCTACTAAGATCAAGATCAAACACGTCAAACTTTAGGTAGTTAGCCATCGCTGCTATCAAGCTAGATTTACCGGTACCGGGTGGCCCATACAACAAGTAACCTCGTTTCCATGCCTTACCAACTCTCTTGTAAAACTCTTTCCTCTTAAGAAACCTCTCCAGGTCATCGATTATCTTCTTCTTCGCACTTGGATCCATCGCCAAGGTTTCGAACGTCGAAGGATGCTCGAGACTGATACAACCCCAACTCCCACCAGCAGAACCATCGTCGTCATCACTCTCGTCCACATCTTGGCTATAAAGCTTCACCACTCTCAGACTCTTCTTGATCTCTTCTGAGGTCGCAACAACGTGGCCCAAATAAGGGCCCATGAATTTCTCTCTAAGCTTCTTCTCGAACGTGAGCTCGTAGTACCGTTTCACTTTGTCACCTTTATCGTTCTCCGTCTGAACGTAGCGCCATTTCACGTCGGAGTTCTCGAACGTATCCAAGATCGCTTCTCCTTTCTCGATCGTGACGGTGAAGTGGTTTTGCTTCGGGGTTTTGCCGACGCGTAACCGCTCCGTCTCTGGACCGATCTTGTTGCGGAGGTACATCTCCGCCGCCTCGAAGACTTGGTTCATTTTGTATTTGAAGTTCTCGTCGATGGTAACCGTCAGGTACTTTGATTTTGGGGTGAAGAACCGGTCGAGTAAGCGGGAGAAGTAGGATCGGAGCTGCTCCGGGACGAAGTCGTTTAGCACTGATCGGAAGAGCATCAGGAATCCGGTAAGGGATGCGTACGCTGAGAAAAGCGTTGACGCTGAGAAGGAGTTGTCGGACGAAGGAAACATATCTGCTCAAACGATCTCTGGCGAAGTTCGGGAGACCGAAAGATTCAAGAAAGTGGTTTTAGAGAGATGGATGAGAAAGAAAACAATGACCAAGAGGATCTTATTTATAGTTGCCAAAGGCATATAAATTAATTCGGTGGTAGGTAAAGAATGAGAAAAGTTGAATTTGGTGTGTGTTATTCTATTGATAATGAGTAACATATATATGAATACAATAAACTGTAGGTCCTTATACTGAAGATCAAATACAACTTGGAGAACAAGTAAATCTTGGTAAACAAGTAAATGTAAAACTTTCCATATTGAATATCACATAATATTTATAACAAATTTATCAAGATATATTTCCAAAATAGTTTGTTTCAAAAATATGAAAAACATTTCCTAAGTAGTTTTTTTTATAAATATTATATTACCTATATAGTCCATAAAAATCAAAGTGATCAAACTAAGTTTTATTAAAGAGGTAAAACACAACATATCCCTTATATATTAAAAGAGAAGCATTGTAATAAATGCACTTACACCATAATTGACACGTATCGGCTTCATAATCATTTAACAATTAATGCGTTCACACACTAATTTTTCAAATTTATTATTTAATATGTTTATACACTAATTTTTAATTAATTCATTTTTATTATATTTTTAGCTTTTGTATTAATAAATTCAAACTTACTACGTGAAACTAATGAATAATATCTTTATCGTAAAAAATTACAAAATCATTAACATTCACATCAACTAAAATGTTGCGATGAAAATGTTTGAAGAAATTGAAAATTTCGTACCTTGCCAAAGTTGCTCATGGTTGAGGCTTCGGTACACAATAACAACAAATAAGGTGATTGATTATGAATTAAAGAAGCTAAGGTGAAAAACACCACACGTAAAGTCGAAGCTTTATTTTAGTCAAATATTTACATTTTTATAAAGTTTTCATATCACACAAAGAATTAGAAACAAAGTCAAATTGGTAGAAAAATCAGAAATCAGAAAAACTTTTAAAATAAATAAAAATCATAAAATCGATTAAAAACAAAATTCAGGTATCAAGTGGAGATGTCACTTTACAATATATATTATTTTTATTCTTACGGGTACAATTTGATTTTCTTCATATGAAAAATGTTATTAATTTCTAGTTTTGTTTTATTTTTACTTAATTTTATTTAAGGATTTACTATCATGTGTTATTTTGAACAAAAATGTTTTAAATCTTAATTAACAGTATATTCATATATTTATCATCACATTTATATATATTTTTACATATACATACATGTACACATTGACATGAGCGACTATATAACTATACATTCACCACAAGTGAGAATTTTAATTCTTATTGTAGTTGAATTTTTTTTTAATGTTTTCTTTCATTATCGCTCAAATTGTAGTGAAATGTTTTATGTTAATAATTTTTTTCTTTTTTCAAAATATTATTTGATTTTATTTGATTTTACATGTCTTTAGAAATATAATAGGAAACTATTAGTTCAACATCAAAAATGTCTAAATTTATATAAAACGAAACCAAAAAAATAACAATAGTTTTTGGTTATCATTGAAAAATGCAAAAACATCAAACATTTAAACCAAACAAACCAAAATAAATATAGATTTAGAATGATAGTTATACTTTAGGAGATTAAAAAAACAACGTAAAACTGAACCAATATTAATGCTAAACAGACATAATATCATTTTATCTTAAAAGTAAAAAAAGTAATAATCTCATTCCGTGTAAGGCGCGGGTTATTACCTAGTCATCATTTATAATTGAACAATTCTCTCAAATATACATTTTTAAGTTTTTGTAACAAAAATAGAATTTAAAAACTAAAATAGCATTTTCCTTTGAAAATTTTACATTTTTTTAATTTTTAGAATTTGAAATCATATCCTCAAAACCTTACTCCTCAACTCTAAACCCTAAACTTTAAACCTCATCTCTTAACACTAAACTCTAATGTCTAGATTAACCAACCCTAGAGATATAAGTGTATATTTGCTTCATTTGATAAAATATCTAAGTTTATTTTGGTCATTTTTTTATTCTTAAGACCTATATTTGTGACAAAAAAACTTTTTAGGTCTATCCGGCTTAGGAAAAAAAAAACGGAACCGAAGAACCGAACCGGAACCGAACCAAAATATCCAAAACCGGAACCGAACCAGGACTCTCAAATATCCGAACGGTTCTTATATTTTTATATCCGAAATAACCAAACCAAACCGAGAACCAAAAGGATACCCAAATATATAATAATATTAATTTTATATACAAATAACATAACTAAATATATGATTTTAATTTAAAAATTTATTAAAAGTATCCAAAATAGTTGAAGATAACTAAATAATTATAGAGTATCCGAACTACGGATAATTTTATCCTAAATAACCGATAATTTACCCGAACTCGAACCGGAACCAAATGAGAACCAAATTTTCTAGGGGTTTTCTAGTTCCTAGTTTTACTATCCGAACCGAACCGAACCGAGTCCAAAACTATCCGAACCGAACCGAACCGAAAATAAGTCAAGTAGTAAATGGATCCTCTGACTCCCTATCCAAACTACCCAAAATTTGAAATACCCGAACCGAACCAAACCGATACCCGAAACGTCCAGGCCTATATTCCAGAGAATTTCTCTTTATAATTTTATTTTATTATTTTATTAACTAGATAAAAATAAATAAATATAAAAAATCAAAAATATTTTTTAACATTTTCTGTAGGGTAATTTTTTAAATAACAAGTTTAAATTTGTGTCATAAAAGAGTACCTAAGAAATAAAATGACCAAAACATGTTTCATTAAAGAGGCCAAAATATTTTGTGTCGTTTTCTCTACAATTATATAAATAATAATAATAAAGAGTACCTAAGAAATAAAATGACCAAAACATGTTTCATTATATGTTTTCAGATGCACACTTTTTTATTAATTTTTTTTGGTTTTTATTTATTTATTTTATGTTATCTTAAATTTTATTTTGAAATTCCAAAATGTTTTTTGAAACTACTTTTCAAATTTTATCTTAAAAGTTTTCATATTTATTTTCTATTTTTAAATATTTTAAACCCTAAATTCTCAAAACACATTCCTTAATTCTAAACAATGGTTAGTTAACTACAGGGAAATTTCTTTTTTTCTATACTTTTTCACAATTTATTTTCAAAATTGTTTTGGGACACGTTATGTTTTTTAAAAAAAGTTTAAGAAAGAAGTTCTGAATACATATGATATCTTTTTGAATTCGTATTTTTTTTCTCAAATTCAAGAGTGCCTTCATATACATGTTATTAGATCTTTTGAACATAACTTGTATGTATAGTCTGTGACAGTTCCGACACCTACACAGATATGGGTCCGTATTTTGAACCTATTTGCATACCCGGAGTGAAGGTCTATATGTGCACTATATTTTTTTTGGAGATTAGTGTGGATCCTTCCATAGGAACGGATACCCCATGCTAATAAAAAAAATGTATGTATATTTACAAAGGTTTTCTTAAATGTGTATGCCATCATATATTTAATTAGGAAAATAATACTGAATATATCCATCTGTCTAAAGTTTACAAAGATATTTTTAAATATAATAGTCATTACTAATTTATTATTTATCAGAAATCTCTACAAAATTTGAAAACGTGGCCATTAATTCTGTATATTAAACTCTAGTTGGGTGATATCAAAGAAAAAACAAAACATACAGCAAATAAAACTAAAACATTTTTACTAAAACAGAAGAAACAAGGAAGGTGAGATACTTGGTAACTCAGTCACCTTGAAAGACTTTGCAATCACCTGAGGATTATCAAGCAATATCAGATTAGAATAAGGTCTATGATTCATAAAGCATCGTACAAATCTATGAAAAGTCTGTGAAACCCCAGAGAATACATGAAGAAAATAATATTCAATTGCACATTTGGTTACCAATGTGCATATGATAACGGATTTAAAAAATAAAATTATTCATCCACATGTGTCTGCTAGTTTGAAATACACAAAGTTCTAGAATAAAAACTTGCTAGAAACCTGCAAAATAATGTAATAACAGTTCCCAGCCATGAGTAACAGAAAACAAAATGTAAAACTACAAAAACCACGACATTGTGCTACTCCACAAAATTACAAATACCAAATGGTCAAAAACTTCCTTCAGTCACTACAACTAAGCCATGAGAGAACAATCAAATACTTAAAATTACCATAGTTATGTAGGATGCAGACCTAGAGACTTTACTCTTTCAAACCTCTGAGCTAATTCTTTCTGATCCAAAAAACAATACAATACAAACACAGCTTAAAAAACCATAGTGAATCTGCAACATACAACATGGTTATAGTAAAACAATACCTTGATCTCAAGTCTGAGAAGCTGTTTGAACAAAAAGATAGAGACCAGTAGCATGTATTCAACTATAATAAAATTGTAAACTAAGAATACATTCATGAATTAAAAAAATACAAACTTTACTAAAAGGCTCTCCATCAAAATAAACAATGGAACCTCAATCAAACACATAAACAAAACTAATGAGAGAAAAGTTGACCATTTGTTAATAAAGCAAGGAAGTACTTCAAAAAACGAAAAATGGAAGAAATGTTGCTCACCCAGTGGAAATCAACTGAACCATATAGGCAACTGCATGTGAAACGTGATATAGCAGAGCACATAACACTACATCTTCTATAACTTCTTTATAAGAACCCTGTAAAATCCAATAGTAAGGAAAATTGATGAACAAACAAAACATAAATAGCTAAGTCAATAGATTTAGTAAGCAGGAAAGACTACTTGTATCTTCATATGAGATAGTCAACGGTCTCCAAGGATGATGGATGCAATAATCTGATTAAAAAAATTGTTTATGAAGTTCTTAAACCTCTCATGTTAATTTCAACAGACTTCGTGACCTGACAAAAACAGTCTTAGGCGGGCAAGATAATCATCGCTAAGAGTCAAAAAATCAAAACC